AGGTACTTCCACTTCTTCCTCTTGAAAACTTTTGAATCCTGAATCACAAGCCTGTAAGTCGTTATGCAAACATGAAAAGAATTCAGTTTCAACCACCCTTGCCTCTTTATTTTTCTCTCTTTTGCACTTCCAAAATAGGTCAATATTTTAAAAGCTGGACACCATTTAAGAAACTCGGTTTCCCAGTTGAGCATGACACTGGTTGGGACGATAATCAGATGGGGGCCCCACATTCCTTTCTCACACGCTAAATGAGCAAGCAGAGCAATTGTCATGATTGTTTTCCCTAAACCCATTTCATCAGCAAGAATCCCATTAAGTCTCTTCTCGTACATTGTTACTAGCCAATCCAAGCCAATATGTTGATACTCACGGAGAGGATACTTGATAAGAAAAGGGAACTTAGTCCGCACTTTTGTTGTTGAGAATGTGTTACCCGTTGGTTGTGCTGACCTGGCGACAGCAGCTGCTTCAGCAATAATATTATCACTCTGCTTATCATCTCCAGATTTCCCAATATATTCAATTTTGTATTCTCCATGGCAACACATGTCAGGCTGAAATTCATTAGCTTTATCACCAGGCTGCTTACATTCAGAATTCCCCTGCACTGGTGAAGCCACAGATTCCTCAGAAGCAGAAGCACGTGAAGATTCTGAGTCAACATCCATATCATAAGTGTCACGTTCCTGATAAGAGCATTCAGACAATGATGGGATCAAAACAGGATTTGAACCCAGAAAGGAAAAAATATAAGCACTCTACAACATACCTTTTTATACCTTGCAAGCAGCTCATGCATAGGAATTTCACTTTCCCTTTGCAGCAGAGCAATCTGGAAAACAACAGCTTACAATTATCATCTGAACTTTAATCAGATATATTATTTTGTGCATGTGCAAATGTTGTTGGAAGTAGAAATTCAGATGAATTTGTGGAGGAAATTAAGGAGTTCAAGAAAGAGAGAAGCTAGTAATGCATGATTTTACCTCATCCACAGTGTCATCTGATTCTGCTTTCGCTAGTTCCTCCTCCTCTAACAGGGTTGTTTCATCATCCTGAACATCCCATTTTACCATATGTGCTAGGTAAGTCAACATGTCAACTCAGTAAACCGATTTACATTCAATAACTAAAAAAAAGACATTTCATCTTGCCCATCTAAGCATTTGGGTAAATAAGATATCACATTTTGGAAAACATTAGACACCCATAGAACATGCTGCTCTCTGCTACTTCATATATAGCTACCAGGGTTGCAGCAAAAAAGACAGAAGTTTTACATATGATTTTTAAGGCACTGCAATACCAACCCAAAAAAAAAAAAAACTCTAGACCACCGATAGTATTTATTACCGTATCAAAATCCCTTTTTTCTCCAGTGGAAAGTACGAAATCATCATCATCCTACAAGGAAAAAAGATATTATCAAAATTCATTGTTTAGTAGCCTCTGAGTAAAGAGAATAAATAACCACTAAAAATGGTTAAAAAGAATAAATGAATTTCAATTTATTCCTGCCATTACAAAGGTTATTTAGAAATTTCAGGGAAAAAATAGCTTGACAAGACAGACCAGATTAGAGTATGAGTTGATTCATAGGTATGATCGAAGCCACAAACCTTGATACATATAAATAAATTTACTGACAGTTTCAAGATACAGTCACAAAAATTACAAATGCCAACACGTCAAAACCTCATGCTGAGCTACAATTGCGTAGTAATTAGCACAAAACGCACAGAGAGCATGAAGAGCCCCCATCTGTCAACTACCACGCTTAACACACAAGTTACTGTCATTTTAAAGCATATGACAAGCCATATTTACATCAATAGGAACCAAAAATTTATGGCTGTGTGTAAATGGTGCACCAATCGTCATACACTTGCTAAAAGCTACTTGGTCAGTTTCATGCAAGAGCGCATACAAAGGAAGGAACCAAGGCCCAGCATAGTTTGACACGAATACAGATGCATTTATTTGTTCATACCAGTCCATAATTGTCCCATTTCGATCCCATACAAAATGAAACCTCAAAAAAGAAGGAAAAAAATTTGAGTCATACAAGCTTATCCCCTTAGTTTAGTTTTTATATATATATTTTTTATTATTTTGGGGAGATCAATTATTCCCCTGGATGTAAAGTTTCAATTACTGTAAAGTTTAACCCTCACTTCCTCTTTTAAATTGCAAACAATAGATCAAGAATATGCCTCTCTCTTCAAGAACCGCTAAGCCTACTTTACATGCAATAATAATTTGACCTATAGCCTAGACCGAAATCATCCCAAATATCCTGCAAAATAGTAGAATCTTAAGACACATCACTAAAGAATAGAGAAGTTCACATGCAAGAAAGGTACATAAACAAGTCTAGAACTAATCTTTTAGGACCATTATCAATCAAGTAAATAACATACAACTGTAAAAAGCATATCTGTTGGACACAGGATGCCTGCTATGAATTTATTTAGTTAATAAAGCCAGTTCAACAAGAGGGATGATGAACATAGAAGATTCATGAAATTACTCTTAGAAAGTTCAAAATTCTTTTCAAACATGCTTTCTTACTTGTTCATCATTCAAGTCATCTAACATGTGCTTTTTCCTTGAACTGTGAAATTTCTTTGATCGATTTCTGATTTTCCGTGTCTCCACTTTCGAAAAATGATTATTGGAAATAGCAAAACTGCCATTACTTTCAACCTGCATAAACCAAACAAGAAGAAATATTATATTGAGCATTGGGAGGTACGTTATAACTTGAGAAGGTATCTAAAACACATACAACTTACACAACGACGACCAGGTATTGCAGGTAGGCTGCTTCTGTCAAGCTTACATACAGAAATAATATCTTCCTTTTTTCCTGCAGAAGATTGAATACGTGCTAGAGCAAATTTAATGGTAAAGAAAAAGTGAGATAAAAAACTGGTGCGGACTCTAACCATTATCATCTCTTGCTTCAGGAGAGTGGTCTTTGTCTTCTCTTGCCTCAGTAGCTCCAGGTAACTCACCATTCTCTTGTCTAGCCTCATTTGCTCCAGGTAAATTGACATTATCTTCCTTTACCTCAATTGCTCGAGGTATAACATTCTCTGGCCTATTTTCTTTGATAACTGCAAATATTTATGCCAATCTAAAGTAATCAGAAAACAGCTAATAGAATGATTTGCAAACTGCTCATTATGGCAACTAAAGAAGAAACGAGTATATCACCACACTCACTAAGTTAGTGCAATTCGGGTTGCATTACTTATCCAGTGACATAAATTTGATGTACTTAGGTAGCAAGGAACCAATTCAGATTGAAGGGCAAAATTTGATAAATCCAGGATTCAACTCTCTGGATACACTACCATGTATGTTCAAAAATTGAATGA